CCTTGCTGCAGCGGCCCAGGGTTCGAATCCGACCTGCGGCCCTTTGCTGCGTGTCATCCCCTCTCTCTGCCCCCCTTTCCTGTCTGTCTCCAGCTGTCCTATCAAATAAAGGCATAAAAAGCTGAAAAAAATATAATAAAAAAAATAAATATAAACTGTTGGCTCAGCTGAAGCATAAATATTTAAAAGGCCTCAAAATACAACCTAGCCCGCTCGGTCTGTCAATCCAAAATAAGTCTTCTACTTCATTTCAAGTTTATTATGAAGAGAGGATGAACATTTATAAAAATAAGTGGGATTTTGCTCGTGTCTTAATTTTAAACCTTTAACATAAATCTAAGATGAACATGATTTGGCTGACATAATGTAATATAACTTTTATTAGCCCCAGGGGGGAATGCAAGCATTACTGTGGCACACAGAAGACAGGAGCGGTAGAAAGGAAGTAAAATACAGATAAGTAGAAAACGCATTGATAAATCAAAGTTATAAAGTATGTAACCCTAACCAAGGTGGCACTGTAGATATACATATATACAGCATAGTTGGAAGGCATAATGTAAAAAATAATATAAACAGGAAATTAACAATGCAGTGGGACTCCTGATTAAATATTTGCCCCTGAAATTAAATGTTAACTTAAATTCTGCTCAATGGAAAATTGCCATTAAGCCATTATGATGAATGAACACCTCCGACACACACGGGGTCGCTGTGCTGCATCTTCCGCCCGGTCCAGATCCTGTTCAGTGCTCTCTGTCTGTCAGGCACTGTCAACAGAGCTCACTGCAGTGTGGACACTCAGGAACAGCACCTGGAAGGAAAGGACTCTCAAAATGAACAAAGAGCCTGTTGTCATCGTCTCTGCTGCTCGGACACCAATTGGTAAGGCTCAGTATCCCGCCAGTAGCATACTATATCCTGTTTGTTCATTTAAAGCAGTGTGTTTAACGTTGCTCCTTTTACTGTCGCTACACTGCTGCTCGTTCAAATGAACTGTTGTTCACATTAATCATCATTTCTTTGTATAAACTCGTAGCCACAGACGTTTACATCCGTATTATCATTTGTCTTCTTTAATTAGTCAAAGTGTTTGATGTCCATTCAATCAAATACGCATGCTCTCGCAGCGCTCTGATTGGTCGGCGCTTGTGTCCGGAGTATTCTGCGACCGGTGATTGGCTGGCTGGTCATAGTGCCACGGAGCACGAGCTTCCTGCCATTGGTTAGCGTCAACATGCCCACTCTGTCAGAGCAAGATGGGCGTGTCTCTTCTCTAAAATGTGATTAGTTTAATTAAAGGCAGGACATTCCTACATGACGAACAGCAACGTTACTCTGAGTAACTAAATAATAATAAAATACGTTTCTTTTTGTAAGCACCTTTCTGGATCAGGGGTCCAAAGTGCTCCTCAGGAAACTGTGAAAGAAGACATAAAATACAGACAAAATATAAAGCCAATTAATAAAATAAAAATGGAATTAAATCTAAAAAACTAGGAGTTTGAACTTCACAAATCACAGAAACTGTTTGAAAATCGCAGGATTCTTAGTTTTGAGCCTGGAGTGAAGAAAACAACCTCTAAGCTGTAATCAGAGAGGACCGTAAAGACCTGCTGGTGCAGTGGATCTCTAATGTAGGCAGGTGGCTGAAAGTGATCACAAAAATCTTAAATTGGATTCTGGATTTGATGGGGAGCCAATGAAAAGAGATTAAGATCTGACTTACAAGAGCCCTTCTTGAGGACCCGGTCAAAAGTTTTGCATAGACAACGTAGTTACAATAATCTAGACAGGATGAAATTAGAGCACTTTTAATCATCTCCATCTCAGTTTAAGACACAATAGCGGTCGGTTGAGTAAATGAATCAGATATGCTGGTTAAGAGTCAAGGAGTTAAGGTGAAAATGCCTATTACAGGTTCCCTGAGCCTAAGGGGACATCTCCACAGAATTATTTTGTTCAACAAATGCTCAAAAATCCAACAATAGCTGATGTACAATGATATAAAAAGGGCAAATCCTAAACAATGAATTATGTGTCGTAGCACATCAGTAACGTCTGCTTATCTGCTCACCTTTACATGGGGAAAATGAGTATGCACCTTGGTGTACTCATGATACAATATCTTTACTTGATTTTTACACAGGGTCCTTGAACGGTTCCCTGTCCACGGTGCCTCTGCGTGACCTGTGTTCAGTGGTGATCAAGGACGTCCTGAAGCGGGCTGCGGTGAAGCCAGAGGAGGTCTCTGAGGTTATCATGGGACATGTCCTAACAGCAGGTGAAAGCTCAGGAAATCACTGAGATAAAAGTGTGGCACAGGTCCCATGTTCATGTGTCGTCATGTTAACAGCTATTGGGCAATATGTGTCTGATTTGACTTTATCTCACTGGTGTTCACCGTATTTTTCCCTTTCTGCCCTCAAGGTCATGGGCAGAACCCGGCACGTCAGGCCAGTGTTGGGGCAGGTATCCCCTACCCTGTCCCGGCCTGGAGCTGCCAGATGGTGTGTGGCTCTGGGCTGAAGGCTGTGTGTCTGGGAGCTCAGTCCATCTTGTCTGGAGAGTCCACAGTGGTGGTGGCAGGGGGCATGGAGAGTATGAGCAAGGTAGGGTATGACCCAAGGCGTCTCTCTAAAAACCTATTGTAAAACAATAATACTGAAGTTATGAAATCTCATTACTTTTACTGTGTGGTATGTTTGTGTATTAACAGACCAAAAACGGGCATCAAATGTCTGTCCAGATTCATAATCCCTGTTTATATAAATATTTGACAAATTTGACTTTTTCTTTACTCTAGCAAAGTCTGGCTGCTTGTGTGTATACAACATTTAACATTTGAGAACCTTAGGTTTTGTAGTGAACTGAAAAAAAAACCCAAAAACATTATTTTCATCTAAATGGCTCTAGTATGGAAAACTTTGAATTTTAACTTGCCCACACACGGAGAGAAACAGGCATCCTTATAGGGCGATAATGCTAATAATCAAATCTCACAAGACTTGAAGTTAAAACGAGGTATTACCAAAACATTTGTGCAATTCAGAGAGTTTGGTGACTTGGAATACTTGAACAAAAAAGGTAGAGGTAGCTTCAGGATACGATTACGAAAATGTTCTTGCATGGGGCTCAATGTTTTTCAGCAGTCAAGTGGTGAAAAGAGTGATATTTCCTTAAAAAGACTGTTTCCTGCTTCCACCAAAGGCTCCTCACACACTGCACATGAGAGCAGGTGTGAAGATGGGCGATGCCTCCCTGCAGGACTCCATGGTGGCCGACGGCCTGACAGACGCCTTCCATGGCTACCACATGGGCATCACAGGTGTGCATGGCTGAGAATATACAGAGGCAAACGCCATCATATCACGCCCCTAAATGAGTATTTATTGTTGTGATACATCTAAAATGTATTTTATCAGCTGAGAACGTGGCGAAGCAGTGGGTCGTCAGTCGAGAGGAGCAGGACCAGTTTGCCGTTCAGTCCCAGAACAAAACGGAGGCTGCGCAGAAAGCGGGACATTTTGATCAAGAGATTGTCCCGGTCATGGTGCCATCCAGACAAGGCAAGGAACTGTCCACTGATTTATGATCCAATGTATCCTTCTATCTGCGAGAAACTGTCTCATCTGTTCTTGGCGTGCATGCACTCTCACCTTTGTCTTCAGGTCCAGTGGAGGTGAAGGTGGATGAGTTTCCTCGCGCCGGCAGCAACATGAGCAGCATGTCCAAACTCAGACCCTGCTTCATTAAGGACAGCAGTGGCACCGTCACAGCTGGAAACGCCTCAGGTTCGAGAGTTGGTGCTCCATATTTGTTTTTTGTTTTTTAAACTAGAGATTATGTCATAAGGTCTATATGACTAACCAAGTCTGCCACTGCTGTTCTTTTCTGTGCCAGCTTTTTGTATAAAGCCGTTTCTTCTTTTAACTTTAGGTATTAATGATGGAGCAGCAGCAACTGTCTTAATGAGCCAATCAGAGGCTGCGAGGCGTGGCATAAAACCCATGGCCAGAATCGTATCGTGGGCTCAAGCTGGCCTTGACCCATCTGTCATGGGAACTGGACCAATACCAGCCATCAGGAAAGCGGTGAGAAGACCGAAGCACCTAAATGTAACAATAGTTGAGAAAATGCTTCTTTGTTTTATTTTTACTTTCTTGTTTCTTCTCCCATTAGGTTGAGAAAGCAGGCTGGCAGCTGGACCAGGTCGACTTATTTGAGATCAATGAAGCGTTTGCTGCCCAGTCTATTGCTGTGGTCAAAGAGCTTGGTCTGAATGGAGACAAGGTACAAAGTGTACATGTAAGTTTCACTCTAGAATCCAACTACGCGAGCACTGATGTGTTGTCCCTTTTGTCCTCTCCACAGGTGAATGTGAGTGGTGGTGCCATTTCTTTGGGCCATCCCATTGGTATGTCCGGCTGCAGAGTTCTGGTGACCTTGTTGCACGCGCTTCAGAGGACTGGGGGCCGTAAGGGTGTGGCATCTCTCTGCATTGGAGGAGGGATGGGCATCGCCATGTGCGTGGAGAGGGTTTGAGATGGAAACGTAACGCTGCTTCACAGATTGCACTTGATCTCATCTTTTTTTAATGGATAAGGGATACTGGAACTCAGTATTAAATTGTTTACCTGGTTTCTTCCAAATCACTGTACTTGAGGGAAAAGTGACGAGTATGTTTTGTGGTTGTTGGGTCTTCTCCAACAATATCCTGCCATTCTTACTGTGAACTTTACTTAAATTCGCCCTTCCTCAGGTTCTAACTGTGTAGCATGTGACTTAATGTTAGAGGATTTAAGATGTCTAGATCATGTTAATCTAGTGTATGCTAAAAGCTTAAATACACACCAGCAGTAACTAAAACTGCTACTACAACCTGCTAGTGTGCTAAATA